GAGAGGGATTGTGTTGAGATGAAACGTGAGGATTGTGCGCGCGCAATAGTAGTGTAGGATTGTGCTTGCGACACAAAGGCATTCAATGGGCGGAGACCCGAGGTGAAAGGGCGCATAGTGATGGTGTGTGAACGTATTTAGAAGCTGGCCGGTAAAGATCTCAAAGATCTTAGAGAGATTTGCAACTCGAAAAGAAATTATTCAGGAAAGCCTTAGACAAAACCTAGGGGAAGAAAAAACACAGCCAGTGAAATGACGACGCTCGGTCAGCGACAGACGGAACTTTAGAAGTTCCGGGGTTGGCCTCCGCGGAGAGAAGAGCGCAGTTCTCCTTCACATTTTTTTTTCTTGCGTTCTCTATCTACTCATTTTCTCTTGGTCTTACTGTGTGTGTGCCTTCAAGATGGCAGCAATGAGGGCTCGTCACAAGATTCGAGCTCCCCGAAGGGTTCGTTAACCGCGGGGTCAAACTATGAAGCTATCTACTAACTATACTTCTAGGGAGTCTCTCATGCCAATACCGAAGATTTCGATTCTATATGGACAGTCCTCGCATCGTCATTGACTGAAATAAATACTAAAAATGCCTCGACCCTGGCATTCGAAGAGATCTACCGCCACGCCTACAAGATCGTGTTGATGATGCGGGCTCCCGATCTTTACGAGCAAGTCAAACAACTGGAGCAGGACTGGCTGAAAACCAATGTCCGAACCCTCATTATTGATTCAATTTCTTCGAGCCTCGTGCGTGCGAAAAAATCCACCGACGCACAGGACCAGTCGAGCGAGAGGAGAGAGGCGGGGGAGAAGTTTCTCACTGTTCTGAAGGATGCTTGGGAAGATCACCAACTGGGAATGGGCATGGTCACCGATGTACTGATGTATATGGTGGGTTTATTATGCTCTGGAATATTGCTACAATACTCTAACTTCTTGCGCAGGACCGTATGGTAGCAAGCCGTACTCACCCACCCATCTACGTTGCCTGCATGGCTCTATTCCGAGACCACATCCTACGAGCTCCCGTCCGTGCCGGCTCTGCTTTGACTGTTATGGATGTGCTTGAATCTACCATACTATTTATGATCCAACTGGAGCGCTCTGGGCACATTATTGAGCGGCCGCTCATTCGACATTGCATCCAAATGTTGGAGGGCCTCTACGAAACTGCTACGGAGGAAGAGAGCTCGAAGCTTTATCTAACTGAGTTTGAGCCAGCCTTTCTCAGAACAAGTAAGAAGTTCTACCAAGCAGAAGGGCAACGGTTATTGGAAATGGGAGATGCTGCCACGTTTTGCCGACTCGCAACCCAGCGGATAGCCGAAGAGGAAGAGCGATGCCGCTACATGTTGTCAATCACGACAGAGCCAAAGGTTCTTGAGTTGCTTGACGAGCAGCTAATCCGGAGCAATATTGAAGAAGTCGTCAATCTTGAAGGAACCGGTGTCCGACGCATGCTGGATCACGATCAGTTGGAGGGACTACGGAATGTTTACATGCTCAATAAAAGAGTCGACCAGAAAAAGCAAGCTTTGACAAAATTGGTTAACACACGGATTGTGGAAATGGGCAAAGAAATCAATGCTTCCTCTGTACTCCTACCACAAGCCCCAGCCCCATCGGCAGAGAAAGATAGCAAAGGAGAGAAAAAGCCCGAGAAGGGAAAAGACAAAGAAAAGCCTCAGAATCAGCAAACAGTGTCAGCAATCGGCTGGGTCGACGATATTCTCAGCCTCAAGCGGAAATTCGATGACATCTGGGAGAAGGCCTTCGCGTCCGACCAGGGCATGCAGGCCTCAATTGGGGCCAGCTTTGCCAACTTCATCAACATGAACTCGCGAAACTCCGAATACCTGTCTCTCTTCTTCGATGAGAATTTGAAGAAAGGTATTAAGGGAAAGACAGAAAGCGAGGTAGACGTTCTTCTAGACAACGGCATCACACTGTTGCGCTATATCAAGGATAAGGATCTCTTTGAGACCTATTACAAGAAACATCTATCACGCCGTCTTTTGATGAAACGCTCTGTTAGTATGGATGCAGAGAGACAGATGATTTCTAAGATGAAGTTGGAGGTCGGTAACCAGTTTACCCAACGCATTGAGTCCATGTTCAAGGATATGACCATCTCGGAAGACCTTACCACCAATTACAAGGAAGATATTGCACGCAGTGGTGATCCGGACCAGAAACCTGTGGATCTGGAGATCAACGTTCTCACCAGCACCATGTGGCCGATGGAAATCATGGCGAGCAAAGAGGGTACGGCTCAATTGCCTTGCATTTTCCCACGTGAGATTGATACACTGAAGCAAAGCTTTGAGAGGTTTTATCTCGACAAGCACAGTGGTCGCAAACTGTCGTGGCAAGCTAGCATGGGCACTGGTGATCTCCGAGCAACTTTCGTGCGCCCTAATGGCAAAGCCCAGCGCTATGAACTCAACGTGTCAACATACGCCATGGTCATCCTGCTATTATTCAACGATGTACCAGACGGTGAAGGTCTCACCTATGACGAGATCAAAACCCGCACCCGGATCCAAGATCACGACCTAATTCGCAACTTGCAATCGCTCGCTGTTGCCCCAAAGACCCGAGTCCTGAAGAAGGATCCTATGAGCAAGGATGTGAAGCCCACCGACCGCTTCCTTTTCAACCATGAGTTCCACAGCCCCTTTGTGAAAGTGCGTATTGGAGTTGTCAGCGGCGGTGCGAACAAGGTTGAGAACCAAGATCAGCGCAAGGTCACTGAAAAGAAGATGAATGACGAGCGCAACGGTACCATTGAAGCTGCCATCGTCCGCATTATGAAGTATGGCTCCATATAACCCCTCGTATATAATCTGACAAACTAACCTCTGGTAGACAACGCAAAACACTTACTCATTCTCAACTAATGACCGAGACTCTTTCGCAACTCTCCGCTCGCTTTGTTCCAGACGTGAACATGATCAAACGTCGCATTGAGAGTCTGATCGACCGCGAATACTTGGAGCGAGTCTCTGAAGAGCCACCCACCTACGGATATGTCGCATAAAGTCAAACTATCTCGATTGATCATAGCAGCTGTCTTCTATCTGGTCTACTCACTTTCTCTGCTTTGTTCTTATGATTTTATGCTCTGGGGGTGTCCTCGCATCTCGGTGTTTGCTTTTCAGGTTGTGCTTGCGTTTATTTGTGCTTAGCGATTGGCGTATTTGAGGGATCGAAAGAGATAAAATGGTTGTAGAAAACCATCTTATTTGGTGGTATTTACAGCCACAAGCCCAATGGAAACTGCCTTTGGCAGGACATGCATAGTCTCTCAACGAATCCCAATCATAGAAATAAGAAAATATATCATAAAATAAACACCCAAATAACGCCAGCCCCAGGAACCGCTATGAAGATGAAGTCGAAGATCAAACCCCAGCCAATCCAAAAGACTCAAAAAAGAATCACAATAATTCCACCTCCCCTCTCCCCCAAGCCTTTTTAATCCCCTCCCACCTCACAACCCAAACATCTCCCATCTGCATCGTAACCCCCGTCTCGTCCCCATCCTCATCCGCACCCCCAACAACAACAGGAACCTCCGCCCCAAGACACCGAACAAAAACAACTTCCCTCAACTCCGGTCCCTGGATCATACTCGTGCCACCGGCATTATCATCCAACCGCCTGAGCTGCCGCGGGAACGCCCCCATAAATGACCCCGCGTAGTGGCCCGCCAGAAGCGTTTGATGTGCATGCAGGAACGACGATTCCGGCTCCGAGAGCGGTGCCAGATCCGTCAGCGTTGATATATCTGGTACAGAATCCTCGGGCTGCTGGTTCGGATTCTGCGAGGAGGCGGTTGATTGTGTTTGCGATGCGAGGGGGTTTTTATTGCGCGATGCTAGCAGGACTAGGTAGTGCATACTGTATTTTGTTATTTTGGCTAGTCGGGCTCGTAAAAGACTGCGCACTATGTATTGGGTGCGGGCGAGGTCGGTTTGGAGGATTGAGAGGCGGAGATTAAGGTTGGGGTTGTGTGTGTTTGCAGTTGTTGGGAGGGTTGTTTCTGACGACGCAGCTAGGTCTTCGATTGTTTCAATCTGTAGTTTTTTGTATCAACAATCTGGTTTAGGGAGAATTGCTGTGTAGCTGTAGGTGCTGTGTACCTGTATCCGCACGCGGTCCATTATGCGCTCCATCAGTGGCGCCGGCCATGGTAGTACCTCCGACACAGCACGTTCGGCTACCCAGAAGCGCGTGAGCAGCTGATGGTCTAGAGCTGTGGAATCCGGGCTGGCGCCTGGACCGCGGTCCACTGACGCGAGAATGTCGTCGATATCCATGGGCTTGGAGGTTATCGCATTGAGGAAAATGCAGGGTGGAGCGCGATATAGGGCGGAGGTAGGGTGCCTGGGGCACTAATCAGCCCGCTAACTATATCGAAATATCAATAATACATATTCATGAATTTATGAGGCGGATTTACAATTGATAGTTGAGTTGTTAAATTAGAGAGTTCAAACTGGCCCAATATCAAGGCATTTGCCAATTGGACATTCTGCTCTGAAATCGGGTGATTGATAACTTATATGATGTCCCAATGAATTAATTAAAGCTGGTCAACTTTGAAAGTGCAATTCTAATCTATATCATTGTATTCAAGTCCATTTGGCCGTTCAAGATATATCATTAGAGAGAACAATGTACGAGGGAACCCACAACTTCATAGCCCTAAGTCTCCCATTCTTTCAGGGATCTCAGGCACACCAAATGCTCGAACTCAAGCTGAACTTCACTTAAATATGACATGAAGACATGAGGAAGCAAGCATTAAAGTAGTAAAAGAGAAAACATCCACCCATGCGGGTATGCGATCAAATCAAATCGAAAGAAAAAAACAGCCCATATTTTGCGCCCAGTTGACAACGCCGTAAACCCATTAACTTCCGGCACATTTATCGAGAGAAATGCAATATCGGGAGACATTCAAAGCCGTGCTCATTAGGCCTTGGGGAAATGTCTATTTAGACCTTGCTGCCGTTGGGTGGTGGCGGCGGGCCAGCAGGCGGCGCATAAGGTGAGTTGACACCGTATGCATTTTGAGGCTGCTGTAACTCGATGCCTTGCTGCTGTGGTGAAGCGTTCTGAGCACCGAAGTAGCCATGGTGCTGAGGATTTGGGCTGTATTGTGGGGGCGCATTTTGCTGATAGTAAGGGTCGCCGTAGGGAGGTTGGTAGATGGGTTGATTTGGCGGAGGAGGTCCTGGGGGAGGAGCCATCCACCCGGTTCCTGTGATAGGACGTTGGCCATGAGTTCTGCGGCGGCGTGCGTTGAAGCATCTGGAACAAGGGTTGTTAGGATCGATAATGGGAGAGCAGTGGGTTAGGACTCACGCGAACCCAAAGAAAAGTAAGAACGCTACTCCGACTATCACGGCGAACGCTACCCAGCGACCCCAAGAGTCCCAGGTGGAATAGCAGTCATCATAGTAACCATTACTGTGCGAGGATTAGTGGTATGTCTCTTAACAGGTCATCAGAATACTCACCAATATCGAGCGGATAGGACTGTCATGAGGGGCTGATGATTTGCAATATAGAAGAGATAGAATGAAAAACCCGAAACTAGAGAGAGAGGAATGCGATCCAAAGGATGTGAGGATGTTCGACGTCAATGGGGGCTGGTGAGAGCGGTGGGTCCTTGGCAGTTTAGGCTGCAGTTTCAGGCTGGGTAAGGTACTGTGACTTTGTCTCGCCGCTTATTTTGTATGGGGACGTTGGTACCGGTACTTGACGCTTGATAGGGAAAGAAATTGTATAGAAGAAAGGAAATTATTACTACAAAGAATAGAAGAGGGATATATCATTATAAGAGCAAAATAAATGTGAGAGTATCTCCAATCAAATGGGCAGACTGCGCCACGCAATTGAGGGGGGCGCAAGGCTGACGATACGAAAAAACCTCGGAAGAGTACGAAGGATATTATGATATTCTTCTTCTTATACGTTGTACTCCGTATTTCTTCGTTATATTATTCTTATATTATTCTTATATTATTCTTATATTATTCTCAAATAGATGGAACATGTGCATAGTATCCAGTCTAATTCTCTATAGTTCTAGGGGATTGATACAGCCACCCCCCCCCCCCCCCATGGATCCCACCACCCCCCTTTGGATCAGACCACCCCCCCTGCCTGATTTTTCAGTACCGCCTTCCCAATTGGGTGCGACCAGTAATTCTGCCGTATTTTCTGCCGCTCCATTTTATACTGCCATGTATTCTGCCACCACCATAGTAATTCTGGTTTATATAGTAAAAACTGCACCATTTTAATCAGAAAAAATCGTACATTATGCCTGATTCCTGCCTAACTACTCTGTATATTGATGATACTAGGTCTCAAGCCCCCCCCCCCCCCCCCCCCCCCGCGCGTTTTCGTACACGTCCACGTCCTCCGCGACCACGTTCTTCAGTATTGACAGCTTCAGTGTTGACAGCTTCAGTGTTGACAGCTTCAGTGTTGACAGCTTCAGTGGTACTCGCTCCACGTCCCCTTCCCCGACCGTATCCTCGGCTACGTTCTCCGGTAGGAGCAGCTGCAGTGGTAGTAGCTCTACGTCCTCGTCCTCGTCCCCGCGGCCGTCTACGTCCCCGTCCTCGTTCCTACGCTAGTATATATTCGAATCCTGAAGGATCTCGTTGGGTGGATCGATCCTGGGTAAGAGGATTAGGTGAAGATCGCTGGGTACTTTGCTGGGTGCTTTGCTGGGTGCTTCGCTGGGTACTCTGTTGCTGGGTATCCTAAGTAAAATTCCGTGCGCCGCGTGGGCGTCCTCGGCGGTGTACTTAGAGTGGATCTTGAAGTAGAAGTAATAGATTGATTGGTGGTGTATCTACACTCCACAAATGCCAATATTGATAGAAGAGTGACAGTTCAAGATACTTGTTCTCGTCCTCGTACTCTTTAATAATATAAATATAAGGGAACCCTGCTGTCTCTTTCGAGTTGCAGTTACAGATCGCTGTAATTGGGGGTTTGTCCTCGCCTTCTGGGAGGTATCTGGTATAAAGCTCCTTTGTGTATTGGATCGCCTTAATTAACACTCGTCCAATAAGGAGCTTATACAGCGGGAGGATACTGGTCGGTCTTCTGATCTTCTGGGTATCAATTTTATTGGAGATCTTTGTAAATTGAAGCTTCACAACGCGCTCGAATATCTAGAGAACGACTAGTAAGTTATTTGTCGATACCTGTAGATCCTGCTTAAGTAGCCAGTGCGCCCCTTCTGTACGAGAAGTTATCATCTTATTAAGATAGAGATACTGAGCGGTATAGCAATGAAGAAATCTCTCTAGACAATCATTCAACTATTTATCTTGAAGGTACTTAATAAGTGGTTAGAAGATCGGATCTTTGTAGTTCTCCTTAAAAAGCTCCTAGTACCGGTTTATTTCTTCGAGGGTAGTAGCGTAAACAACACAACCCCACCGCTTTAGTATTTTCTTCTAGGCTTTATCAACCTTGCGACGTTCCTCTTCTAGCTGGGCCTTTGTTCTCCGGGTATAGGTAGACCTCATAACCGCCCGCGAGCGGCCCTCTGAGGGCCGCCCGCAGACCCGCACTTTTGCGGGCGGAGGGCAAGCGACGCCTACCCGCGGGTCGGGCAGGTTATTTTCTTGCCCTCAGAGGGCGGCCCTCCAAACATTTTGAGGGCCGACAAACAGGACAAACAGGGAAATCCCTAGAGTTGCATAAAATATGCATTTCTCAGCTGTATTATTTAGTATTTGGTTTACAGCTTAGTATTATAGAAAATAAATATAACCAGGAGTAATCATTTAAACAGGCTAAATAACATCAAATCTTAATAGAAATATCTCATTCTTTGAGGAACTAATATACGTTATATAGCTTCAAGTTCTACGGCGTTTATCACTCTCAATTTCATAACCATCAAGCTTACTTGAGCGCTTCCGAACCCTCCCTGAATACCGTTGTGTATGAGGCAACTCAGGCTCACTATCCGCATCCTCCTCCTGCTCTTCAACCTCGAGCTCCGATTGAGTCCGCTGCCTCCGTTGTGATTGACCTTGATCAACTACCACTTCGATAGTACCATCCTTATCCTCCACGTCCTCGTAAGTATCACTGCCCTCGTTATTATCACTTATAGGGTCAAAATGATAAGTATTGGTTGTATCACTCTCCTCTTGGTTGGCTTGTATCTCTTTATGTGAAAGATACTTATTGATCAAAGCTCGGTGGGTATCTTCGATCTCAAATTTTGATATATATATGAATATCATTAGATCTTGAACTGTTGATGCCTTTAGAGAGCCTCGTCGGTAGTGACAGATATCCCTGGCGGAGTTGAAAAGGCGTTCTACACCCGCCCCTGTAGCTGGTATTGATAGTATATCGCGTGCAAGGTTTGTAAGAGTAGGGTACTGATACTGATACTCTTTCCAAAATATATAGGTAGGCGTTCGTATAATACCTTAAATATAAGTTAATATAGGGTAGATAACAAAAAGATATAACTTACCACTGTCAAGGTATTCCTTAAGCTTATTATATTCACTCAATGCTAAGGGCTGGGACCCTTCTACTCCGCATTCTATTTTAAGCTCTGAAATCGCGATTGCGGATGATCGAGCTCTAGATAATGATTATATATCTGAATAAAGTTTCTTGTAGGACTGAAAGTATTCCTTAAGACTTACTCGATAGATTGCACGCTAGTTATTAACCGGATTATCCCAGTCCTTTCCTTTAAAAAAGTTAAGCTTTTGTTAGGGTAAGAGAATAGTGCTAATTGCGTAAAGATTGTTATCAATTTGATCGGTCTAGCTGTAATATTGCGAAAGCTTCTTCTCTGCTGCCTCAAGAGAAGTAAGTATAAGCTACTTCTATACAACCTTCTTCCGTTTTAAAACAGTCTTTGACTTTTCAAGGTAGTTGAAGAGCTTATTGTAGATATTAAAGATCAGGTGAATACTAATATCCTTAGTTTTAGAAAGAAGAGTGGTAAATTTGAAGAAAGGCTGGGTGATCCAAAGAAGATAGTCAATCTGTCGCCACTCTTCTGGACTTAGTGTAAAGTGTTCCTGGTTATACTGAGCGTAGAATTGATCAAAGGTTGATTGGAGCCGTTTGGCACGTCGGAGCATCAAAAATATCGAATTCCAGCGAGTTCGGATATCCTGGATCGGAATAAGCTTTGGCTCCTCAGTTTGAAGGTTATAGAATGACTCTCTCCGTTGTGGACTTACGTTAATATAGATAGTAAGGTTTCGGACCTATATAAGAATAGAAGGATTAGTATAATAAAAAAAGTAGAGTTATAGGGATATACCTTATTAAGCGTATCAACAATTTCTCTTTTTTGTTGCCTTACACGAAGAGAGCGAACACGGTTGTTAGACCAGTCTATCTCCGTACTCTTATTCTTTGGAATTGCCTTTATCTTCCTAAGAAGATCATTCAGACTAAGCTAGATAATATAGGCAATACAAGGAACCCGAACGATTGTAGCACTATTGTTTAGCTTAAGCGACTGGAGTGATTCTTGGATACTTACCATTATAGTATTATTATTTGATGCATTGTCAGTAGTGACTGCAAGTACTCGATCTGCAATCTTATACTGATAGAGGAGCTTTAAAACCACGTCACTTAGGTTGACACCTAAGTGTGAGCCAGATAATAGTTCAAATCCAAGAAGAACCTCTCGATACTCCCAATACTGGTCGAGGAAGTAGCCAGTGACAGCTATAAAGGCCTATCGAAACGGAGATATCCAGCAATCTAATACAATCGAAAGCTTTGCATTGGGAGGAAGCTTGTTAAGAATAGACTGTTGCTGTTCCTAGATATACCGCCGTAGTCGAGACCGTATTGTGACCGCAGAAGGGATCTGTGGTTATATCGGGGTAAGTCGGGCAAAGTTAATAACTTCACGAAATTCTGGGTGTTCAATAAACTTAAAGGGGAGACGGGAGAGGGTAAGTAGTTATAAGAGCTTCTGTTCCTATACCTCTTACGTAAAAACTGTTGACTTACTTAGTACGTTCTGCGCCTATTAATCCAGAGAGTTATTAGTAAATAAATAATAGAAAAATTGTATAATACATACGGTATTCATAAGTAGTCCCTTAATATTACCCTTCTGGGTACTAGATTTACGATAAGTCGGTCCAGCTAAGTGTCGATAAAGTGCAGTTATTCTATACCGCCTATTTACTGGATAATCGAGGACTTTATGGTATTGACGACACATTGCCCCTGGTTTACCAGTTTTTGCATCAGCCACTTGATCAAATTGCTCCCAGCAAGTGGCTGTCCGGTTACTATTCCAGTTTAGTCGTTTTTTTGTCTTTCCAAACTCAGTCTCCAACCACTAGGAAACAAAATTATCTTTTGATATATCGGTGTATAGAATAAACGCTATTGATCGACCTAGGCCAACACGCTGAAGTGAAGAAGGAATTGAAGGTGGAGGAATTGGGGTAAGAAACCCAGAATTTGAGGTGGTATCAAATGTCTACTAGCTTTCGGAAACCTCAGGGGTTAGGAATTGCTTATTCGGAAAGTAGAGAAGAGGGTCGACTGAATTTATAGGATCACCGTCGTAGATAGATAAGGAATAGATATCTGAGAACTGAGAAATTTGAGACATTGTTAACTAAATAATCACTTATAGATTATATCTTAACAACGGGATAGGAATCAGAAGGTAGATATACCAAGAAAATTAACAAATCCTAGTAAATAGAATTGATTAACTACCCTGAAGTTCAGCTCACTGGGTAAATAGTAAATATATCACAATTTAATCCACTTTAACTTAAGATAATCTCTATAATTGGCTAGATTTACTAGGCTAATTGAGGGCCGCCCTTATCCAGCCCTCAATCCGCCCTCGGAATATACGGGCCGCCCTCAACCCGCCCTCAACCCGCCCTCAAAAATCAGTATTCAGATAAGAAGTATATACCCTAGGTCTAGCTGAAGTTGCAAATATATATTTCTCCAACTCCATTATCTAATATTGACAACCTTCACAATTGACAACAACCAATATACTTAAAGATACTAAGAATATATAATATCATTATTACCTACTATGATTTATTGTAATACAACTCAATTTCATAAAGTTTCTTGATGCTGATAAAGAAATGGATTGTAAATATAACATTCAAACCAGAACACCGTTAAATAACCGTAATTTAAAGTGATGAGTTAGCACTTTTATATATCTAAATTAGGAAAGGTCAACTTTTTTTATGTAAACGAGGGCCGATGAGGGCCGCCCTCGAGCGGCCCTCAGAGGGCGGAGGGTCGGGTGAGGGCAGGCAAGTATCCGCCCTCCGCCCGCGAGGGTCGGGCGGAGGGCGGGAGATTCCGGCCCTCTGAATGTTTTTAATGAGGTCTAGGTATAGGTGCTCTGTTGCTGGGTACTCTTAGACTTCGGCAGAACCCATTTTGGGTCGGAACCTCTGACCCAAAACCCAACCCATTGGGTTTTGGGTTCCGCCCTCTATAACCCAACCTAACCCAAAACCCAATGGGTTAAACCCAATAACCCAATAATAACCTATTTGAACCTATTTTTGCATAAAATATAGGTCTTGGCGTTCATAACAATACTAAGTTATTTAAATAAATTACTGTTTTTTACAGCTGTTCTGGTTTGTTTATCGAATATTGCTATATTATCTAGACTGCGACAACGCCCACCAAAGTGGAGACACTTTTAGCGTCGCCAAGACATATGCGGGCACTCTTGGCAAGGTGGATACTGCCAAGAACTAGTTATGTACATAAAATAGCCTAATAGGGTAATTTTTGCATTAATTTTGCATAACGGTGGGCGATGGGCGTCAAATTTCAAAAGGCCCACGGGCCGTGGACACTTTCTAGTGCCCATGGACGGGCGATGTCGCAGTCTAATATTATCACAATATTGAGTTAGAAAATTTATATAATTACCCTAAATTTGAAGCTAATAGGCTTTATATTATATTGATTACCGATAAAAATTTATATTAATTATAGTATAGTGGTGTTCTATTAATTTAAGTATTTGTTAACTGTAGACTATTGAAAATATATATTTGTAGTAGAGGGGAGTATATATATATTATAGGATAACTATAAATATAAATAGAAATATCTTATTCTTATTTGATTTTATATATAATTGATATTATATTAAAGCTATATTTCTCTTCTCTTATATTTAACTTATTATATATACTCCGAATTGTATTTTCTGACCGCAGTCGGAAAATCACTTCTAGGAGGTAGGTAGGTATATATATTATTATCTCTGACCGCGGTTAGAAAAGCCCTTCTAGGAGGGTAAATAAAATATTTTTGAGGGATCTTCTAGGGGAGTGGGTTATAAATAGGTCCTCTTAGGTTTTAATAGGTTATAAATAGGTTCTCTTAGGTTTCGATAGGTTATAAATAGGTCCTATTAGGTCCTATTGGGTTCTCTTAGGTTAGACCTATTTAAATAGAGCTTATATAGCCAATCAAATAATATTATAGCTTATACCTTTTGATCTATCTACTTTACTATAGGACTAAGGTATTTACTGTTTATATACCCTTCTCTTATAAGTATATACTCTCTCTGCCTTTCCCCCTTACCTCTATAGTATTCCCCTTTTCGGTCGTAATATCCTAAAGCCAGTATTCTAACTTTTTACCTACTCTTTACGATACAGATATAGATAACCTTAGCTATCTTATACCCTCTTCTCGAGTTCTAACCCTATCTAGTAGCTAGCTTATAATTAAGCCTTTTAATACTATTGATACTAACTTCCCTCAGCCCTCTAACCTTCTACTAATTCTACACTCTCTTACTCGCGTTAGCCCCGATCGGAGAAAGGTATATATACTTTATAATAATATAGTATATAAAGAATAGGTTAAGTAGTGGCTATAAACTGACTATAGGTAGAAAAGTAAGATTTCCTAGGATTTAAATCGTAATTCAAATATATAGAGTAACTTCGACTAAGTTACCTATACTAAAGATAGTGCGCTAAAGGTAATATATAAGCGCTGCTTAAAGATCCTAGAGTATCCTTATTCTCTATTACCTAGCGGAAAGGGCTATTATAGTATATTAACAATATTGAAGTATTTAAAGACAGTAGGCTATCGTAAAGCTCAATAGAGAGGGAAAGGAGAAATTACCTAGTTCCTTTAAAAAGTAGTATCTCTTTACCTCTTTATTTAGCTATCTAATTTCCCTAACACTCCTAGATATATAGGATTACGGCTTACTAGAGGCTCCTTTTTTACAATCGGTATAGGAAGAGTATCTTCTCTAATTTCTTACCCTCAATTAACTTCTATTCTACCTTATCGAATATCCAATATTTTATAAGCTATTCCGATTAGCCCGCTCTGCACTATCTCTCCCTCCGATACCCTCTGCTACTATAATATATCGTCGTTTACGTAATATAATTATAGAATAACAGAAATCTATCCTCTAAACACTACCTAATAATATAAAAATCTCGATTGTATTAGATTACTAGACTTCTCTATATAACTAGGCGTTTATAGCTATCACTGGCTATTTTATTAACAGTAACTAGGTATACTAAGAGGTTCTACTTAGATTTAAACCACTTTATAGCTCCTATACCGGTTTAAATCTAAGTGGTGTACTCCTTAAAACTCTAGTTAAGTATAAGATCTAGGATTGGGTATTTAGAGTTATAACTAATAATATAACTAATAATAAGACAATAGTTAAGGCTATTCAGTAGGCGCTCTCTAGCGATATAATAGTAATCCGAATACCCTATCTTACCTATATTATCCAGCTTTGTTTAAACCAGCTCCTTGATTATTTAAAGGCTATCCCTCTAAATAAGAATACAGAAACAAAGTAGACTGACTAGAAGTTATCTACAGTAAAGGTAAATACTTAGTACTAGACACAGAGGATCTTATATACCTTAAATAAGGTCCGTTATCTTACTATATATATCTATATAAGTCTATAACGCTAGGTAGCCTTTCTCCGACTTTAAGAAAAGAGATCCTAGCTTATTCTAATCTAGGACGTAAGGACTCGGTAGAATTCTACCTTCTTAATACTTCGTTATATAAAGAGACTATATAGTTTCTTCTAGCCCTTCTGTAAGGAGTATAACTATAAGGAGATATTGCTTAATACTTAAGAATAGCGTTAAATTAACTATCTTCTATAAATCACTCGGCTATTCTTTAACTATATAATAGAGCTCTCGAAGACAAAGGAGGTCACTATATATCTTATCTTTAAGATCTACAATACCCTCTTTAATCACTTTTTTAAAGTAGAGGCGCTGCTTAAATATAAGCGTATTCTATAGAAATTAGATATACTCAAAGTACTTATAGCTAGTCGCTTAAAACTTAATAAGTACTACTCTTAAACCAACAATCTTAAAGGATATATCTATATAGTTAGGACAATACTAGCACCTAACAGTAGATTTTAGTTCTTTCTATCTGATAATTAGGAGCCTTACTAGCGTAATACCTACCGGAAATTATTCTAGGAATTATTAATTCCGTATTAAGAGCGCCTTACAATAAATCAAGGATCGACTAATACTCTAACAATAGTATTATCTAGTTCTAGGCTAAATATAATACTAAAGAGTAATAAGATATCTATAAAACCAGCTAGTGATAAGATAACTCAATATCTCGATAGTAGTATATTTATAATCTATTTCTTCCCTATATAGGATAATACTATGTAACGGATAAAGATCCTTACAACCTGGAGACTGACAATACAGGAGTCAGCTGATATAGGACCAATATATAATCAGCCAAGTATCGTGACCTGATCGTGAGGGGTTCGTTATATAACGGCCACGTTAGTCGATCAGATAGTTTACCCTATAGTCTGGGATCCCCCTGGATCCCACTTACTCCTATAAGAATTAGTCTTGAGACAGTTCCACACAATATATTGTATTCGTCTCCTCTCACCGAGTCCTTGTATCTTACCCGGTTGATAGGCCCTACACCTGAGACCAGTATACCTTTACAATTCTAATTCTTCTTTTTTAACTGCTTAAGATACAATAGCTCCTCGTACTAGAATATCAGTTCCTAATAAGCTAAGGGAAAACCCTTAAGCCAGTAACGATCCGGAATCAACTCTATCAGCAGAAGGGGAGGAACCCCTATCGGTTTCCCAAAACCTCGAAACCCCGGATCTATAGGCCGAACCAATAGGCTAAACCCCTAAGCAAATCACAATAACTATAGCTTAACTACAGGAAACGATCCTTTAACTAGAGAAATAAGCTGAGCTGTAAAATCGACTTATTGCAGTATAAAAGCTCCTCGCAGAGAATAGGAAGGAGCTAAATCGCTACCGAAATGGTCGCGAACCCTTAACGGAAAGCGAACAAAGCCAGAAAGGGGAGATTAAGCGAGATATCGAAAAATTCGAAGAGAGTTTCGGTATCCGATAGAGAGAGGAATAGCTGACTGACCTTAATACGCTTTTCAAAGGCGCGCCTAAGAAATATATCTCGGATTCCTAGAAGGTCCTTACCGCTGAAAACTACCTCTGTAGTTCCCACAAAAATAAGTGGCAAAATCATTTATCAAACTACCCTGAAGACAAAAAGGACTGGGAAGCTTTTAAAGAATAGACAAAAACCCTACTTTATAACTCCTACAATATCGTTACCGATATCCTTATCCTCTACCAAAAAGCCGAGATACGTCCGAACTAGGACCCACGCGCTTTCGCCTACTATCTTATATCACTAGAGAAATACCTCCCAGCCTAAACCGAAGAGCAGAGGGCTTAAGCCCTATTTATAAAATATATAAAACCGCTTCGAGACTAAATTATTACCACAACTAACGGAGTATTACCTAAGACAAGAGCGCTTATAGAATCAAAAGTATCGATACTCTGGAATATACACTTCTCGGGCTAAAAAAGGAAAGAATATCCTATACCTACCCCGGATAGGCGGAAGAAGGGAAACTACACCGACTCGACAACGAATCAATCCTAATCTAACACCTTATTATCAGCAAACCCTAAGCCCTATAGGGGACGTAGGGGCTTTAGAGGTATAAATCCGAGAGGAAGAGGCTAATCTAGAGGCCGGGGCAGAGGTCGAGGAGGATCAAAATCCCACGCCTCCGGTATAAACACTACCCCTACCGAGAGAGGGAAATAGCCCCGATTCGGTACAGACTAGTACTTATTACCTCTGTAGAGATAAGGGTTACTAGGCGAACGAATACCCCTAAAAAGCAATAGTACAATCACTTATCTAAGCCTTACGCTCCAATACCCTAAGACAGTCGGGAAAAGTGGAAGAGCTAGGGTAGACCCCGATATACCAGCTCCGTACCCACTGATCGGGACCGTAATATACCTATATACGCCAATTACTCTCGATAACGGTGTTAAAACCTATACAGACCTAGATACTGGTGCCGAATACGACGTAGTTAGTAAGGAATTCGCTTATAAGAATTAATTACTCGCCGCCCTATTTTCGTCCCTATCTCTAAAGAGTATCGCTCCTAAAAGACTCCGCACCTATAGGGTATTCTGGGTCTCCTTTTCAATAAGAGACTCCAGAGGAACTAAGAAAACAGTTAAAAGGCCCTATATAGGTATTAAAAGAGACCCCTGTATAGAAGGGAGCCCAGTACTGTTATCCCGTACTTTTATCAATAAATTTAATATAATCCTCCGCCCTAGTACAGATAAGTGGTGGTTCGGAATCAAAACTTTCGAGCTTATAGAACCCCACCGCTTCGCAAAATTATTAAGGAACACAGCTGTTATTTATACCCTAGTGAAAATACCGGAGTAAGTCTGGTTTCCAGACGAGAGCGGGGATCACCCCTACCTTAACCTATCACAAATACCCCCCGAACTAGAGGCGTATCTCGATATATTCGACCACGAAAAAGCAGGGGAACTACTAATTGCAAAAGCTTCCGACTATACAATCGAACTCGAAGAAAGGAAAACCCCACCTTATAGTCCAATCTATCCCCTTTCGCGCGCAGAACTAAAAGAGCTGTAGGCCTACCTTATAGACAATATCAAAAAAAAAAGGATCCGACCGTCTAAGAGTCCCGCCGGAGCACCAATCCTCTTTGTACTAAAAAAGGACAGCGGATTACACTTATATATAGACTACCGGGGTCTTAACCGCGTTTCGGTTAAGAATCGCTACCTATTGCCTCTTATCTCTGAAATCCTAGATAGACTCTTAGGTACGCAATACTTTAGTAAGGTTGATATCAAAGACGCCTACTATCGTATTCGTATACAAGAAGGTAACGAATAGAAAACCGCCTTCCGAATAAGGTATAGCTACTTTAAATATATAGTTATACCTTTCGGTCTATCCAATACACCAGCTACCTTTCAGAGCTATATCTATACAGTATTAAGTGGGCTAGTCGATATCGTTTGTATAGCGTATCTAGATAATATCTTAATCTTTACGCCTAACCGGGAATCCTATACAAAAGCACTACACTAAGTTTTCGAACGATTACGAAAAGTAGAGCTTTACGTAAAACCTTCAAAATATACCTTCTACTAAAAGGAGGTTGAATTTCTAGGATTTATTGTCAATAGCGATAGAGTACGGATAGATTAAGACCGTATTCGCGTTATCTAGGAGTAGGAGGAACCGAAAAGTTACTATAATATCTAGGTATTCTTAGGGTTCTGTAATTTCTACCGTCGATTTATCAAAGGATACTTATATATCTCTTTACCCCTCACGGCAATACTAAAGGGGTTAAAAAATAGAAAGAAGCCTAGAAAAGTGGTACTTAGCGACCACAAATCGATAGCGTTCCTATAATTAAAATAGGCCTTTTAGTCGGCGGCCCTATTATACCACTTTAATCCTAAAAATCAGATTAGACTAGAAACTAACGCCTTAAATAAAGGAATAGGAGGGGTGATATCGCAGCCCGATAACGAAGGAAGATAGTATCCGGTCGTATTCTAGTCCCGGAAATTCTCCGGTGCAGAGCTGAACTACGCGACACGGATTAGGAGCTATTCGCTATCGTTCACTCGTTTTAATATTGGAGGCACTATCTTAACGGTAGTAAATACCCGATAGAAGTACTATCCGACTATACAAATCTGCGCACTTTTATAATACAGCAGAAACTTAACAGCCGCTAGGTATATTGGTGTATATTTCTAACGCCTTTTAACTTTGTAATAAAGTATAGGCCTAGAAAGACGAATCCCGCAGATAGGCTTTCCAGAATTCCAAACTCCGAGTAAGCAGCTTCTGGAGCGGAATTGATAACCCCGATTTAAGATCGAATCGTGGGCGAAGAGCTCCCGCCTCAAAATCGAGACGAGGATATATCGACCCTTATAATACAGAGTATTATAGGGACAAATAATCTAGACGCAGATTATAAGTATAATTCGTGGGAATATAACTCGAAATTCCAATCTAGATAATAGGAAAAACCTAGATCCAATACACCTACGGGTACGGATATAAGAAGCACTAGTACAGAATCAGATAATTGGTCTGAATAGAGAGAACTATATAACGAATTAAATATACTATTCGACGTCGGGGATACTACTACGGTGGTAATCCAGTCTATCAGTACAGACACTGAAGACGTTCTCAAATAGGTAGAAAGGCTATAAGCCGAAGACCTAGAGACTATCCGCCGAAAAGGGGATATCTCGGTACAGAAACCTAGTAGTAAGGGCTAGTTAGTCGACGACCTCGGTGTACTAAGGTACCGGGGACGTATATATATCCCGAAAAAGGAAGGGATTCGTACTAAGCTGCTACAAATATATTATAATAACCCTGTGGCCGGCTATTTCGGCCGCGCTAGAACGGAGGAATTGCTAAAACGCAATTACTATTAGGTATATATATAAGAAGACGTAAAGAAATACGTTAAGTCTTATAGGATCTACTAAATAGCGCAGACACTAAGGTATCGGCCTTTCGGTAAGCTCGAATCCCTACCGATCCTATCTCGACCCTTTACCGAATTGTTAATAGATTTTATTACAGGATTACCTCAATCGATCTAGAAAGGAAGGATAGTCGATACTATTTTAGTGGTTATAGACCGTTTCTCGAAATAGTGCCTTTTCTTCCCGGTTTTAACTATGATAGACGCTACGGAATTAGCCGAACTATTCTATCAAGAAGCTGAACTGAAGTATAGACCACTAAATAGTATTATATCCGACCGGGGATCTGTCTTTATAAGCAGATTTTGGTCAAAACTGTATTATTTATCCTAGGTAAAACTTAGGTATTCGACCGTGTTTCACCCTCAAACCGATAGGTAAACGGAATAGATAAACCAGACCCTAGAGCACTACTTACGATACTTTATCGACGAACAGTAGAAAATATAGCCTTTATTACTAAGAACAGCCGAATTCGCTTATAACAACGCTGTTAGTACTATAACAGGAATATTACTATTCTAGGTATTATTAGGCTTTAACCTAAATTTTTAAATACGCGCCGAGGACAGCAGCGCAGAAAGAGAGGTACCAGCAGTATTAACTCGCGTCTAAAAGCTTACAGAGCTACGAGAAAAGCTGTAGGATTTATAGCGAAAAGCTACCGAGTCGTAAGCGACTAACTACAATAAGAGATATAAGGAAATATCACTTAAAAAGAACGACCTTATAGTCCTGTCTATAAAGAATCTACGCCTAAAAGAAGGTACTACAAAGAAGCTATCCCTACGATAGATCGGCCTATTCAGAATCCTCGAATATATTAGAAAGTAGGCGTATTACCTCCTACTCCTAGACTAATACGCTGCGATTCACAATATATTCCCTATCTAGCTCTTACAACTATAGCAGCAAAGAGAAGGGGAACTAGAGAAATTACCCCTACCGGAATTAGCTGATAATAACGAATAGGAGGTCGAAGAAATAAAAGACGACTAGATAATCGAAGGAGGACTATACTACCTTATAAAGTAGACAGGATAGCCCTCGGAATACAACCAATAGGTTCCTAAAGACGCTATAGCGAATACCCCGAAAGTTATTATAAGATATAAGAAATCTCAGAAGAAATAATAACTTTAATTAGAAAAGGGGCCACCGAATATACTAAGTATCGGCGCCGAATAGACAGCGAAACAAAGGGAATCTAGAGACACCTCACCACGCTAGGAACCAGAACGTAAGAAAAACAAAGTGTATACAGAGACTACACCGAATCGGTATCCGAACAGTCCCGTTACAAACTCTAAGAGAAAGGAAAACCCTATATTAAGGTATCTAACTAGGTGCGAATACCCCCAGTGACCCTAGACTCGGCAATAGCAGTCTTACAGCGGGAACGGAGAATTATAACAGCACCGTACTAGGCAGAGACCGACTCCTTATCGTTAATCAGCCGAACCCGAGTCGAGGCCTCTACAGTAAGACAGTCCCACTCACCGACTATAAGATAGAGGTCGCGAGAGATACGAGAAGTATAGGCGTTAATCTATATATCGTAGGATATATACACAGCCTAGAGGAAGGGTGAACCGTTAGTAAACCAATCACGAACCAGGGAGAGTTCGATAAGGACTTACAGCGGGGATATAGGTCCCAGCTAGATTATATAAGTGACAGTGGTTTTTGACGAGGTTGTTAAAGCTACTAGTGACCTCGCGGATTAAGACCGAAACGTAGGTAACCAGCTTATAAGGAAACAGGAAGTAGACCTCGTTTCCCTTATTGTCTTCCTCGTTATCTAATACACTATACCGGCCTATATTGTTACGCTAGAACTCCTTAGCCCACTCTAAGATAGATAACAGTTCGAACCTATTCCCAGCTATACCGTCCGGAACCTAGGGACACGATATTAGGACGAACCGGAAGCGGAACCTAATCGAGAATATACGGGGTACTTACAGACTCGTACACTTTTTTCTACCGAGTACAATACTAGCAAGATTTACTGTTAGGGGTGTCCGAGAAGTATCGAATTACTAAGGGGGAATCGGTGCTGTTAGGCTGCTTAGGCTAATCGCGAGCAGAAACACGCAGACAACCTATACACTAAGTCCGCTGTCGCAGGACCGGTATAGTAAGTTACTTACGCGGGGAAGGACGAACTAGTAGTATACTGAAACGTATAAGAAGAAACTGTAAAGCAATATTAGACCGGTACCGACTCGGTATAAGAACGATAGCCTTACTAGTGTAAGAAGAACGCGTTACTGTTAACGAAGCAGGATTGTTAACAAAAAGTAAGAGATATACAGAAGGAGAAGTGGAAAGTAAAAACTCTTCAATTGAAAACAAAGCTCTACTTATAAAGATACCAAACAGTAAGAGTATACGAAATATAGTAACTACCTAAACCGGAAGTCGCACCTTCCTATCGGGACCTAATATCAAAACTACTACCAATCCTTAATATATCGACACCGCCTTATCTAACTCCTTTATAACTCCGGTATTAGAAGAGGGAACGTATTTATATACGCGTCTAGTATAGTCTGAAGGACTAAGGGCCCTCCGACAATAAATAACGTCCGGATAGTATTATAGTATTCCTGTAATAAATCACTCTTCGAGACTGACTATTGTATATATCCCTTATCCCCTTCCTAGAGACGCTAGCTAGACTCTACACGATATCGGTGCTAAGCCGATACAGGAGCACCCTAGGTAGGCCGCGTTAAAGGATTAGGATAGGACGCACTCCGCCCCTCTACGTACCTACGGTATCGGGATAAGGCTTTCTGCGATTAGTTAGCGAGTTATCAGCGAATTGGAATCGACTCTATACTACTTACCCGACTGATATCCCTCTTCGCTGTAGCCCTAATATTATACTGGGCCTAGTGCGCAGTGTATATATAATTAAAATCCTGAACTATCTTTATCGTAGTATAATTGATACTAGTGATAAATACTAGGTTAGCACTAAAGTATCTATTCGCGGGGGTATATATCTAGGCGACCTATTCGAGTATCGCTTCCAAATCGGTAGCGTTACCCTATATCCCTTCGGTAGGACAGTCGCAATTTACTTTTCGCTGTACGCACTGCTAGTATTTCTTAGTGCCTTCTTCGTTTAAGTAACACTCGATCTTAAAGACCGCTGTCGCTGCAGTTAGATCGAAGTCACTTATTGAAGTGCGTAGGCACTTTATACACTAAGTGTGTTTCAACTGGATACGGTTAGCACGAACAATAGGCGCTATAATAAGAATAACAAAGATAAAGTTGAGAGTCTATTCCGTATAAGAAATAGGGTGGCTAAATAGCCTCTATAGAACAAAGAAGTTTACCTACAGATTTTCTTCAAAGAGCGGCCTTATCCTAATTATATCTCTTTGCGGGAACCCGCCACTGTTCTATCGGTGAAACGTTTTTGACTGCAGAGATTCGCGGATAGGGATATCCGCCCTAAGAGGAGGAGATAATTGTAACGGATAAAGATCCTTATAACCTAGAGACTGACAATATAGGAGTCAGCTGATATAGGACCAATATATAATCAGCCAAGTATCGTGACCTGATCGTGAGGGGTTCGTTATATAACGGCCACGTCAGTCGATCAGATAGTTTACCCTATAGTCTGGGATCCCCCTAGATCCCACTTACTCCTATAAGAATTAGTCTTGAGACAGTTCCACACAATACATTGTATTCGTCTCCTCTCACCGAGTCCTTGTATCTTACCCGGTTGACAGGCCCTACACCTGAGACCAGTATACCTTTATATACTAATATATTTATACTACTAGATCTAATTAATATTGAACCTCTTTAATTCTAGCGGGAGAACCAATCTCGTTTCCCTACGATTGCGTTACTTACTCGCGATATTCTCTCTATCCTAGTAACTAGTGCTAGTATCGAACGGCTCTTTAATACTGCTCGGGATATTTATCACTACCGCTGTAGTCGTCTAAAGTCCGAAATAATCGAGGAGCTTATATTATTTCTATATACAATAAGATTCAATATTAAGGATTCTAAGGTAAAGTAGCTTAAGCAGTTCTTTACACTAGCTAAGATTGAGTCAGCGAAGGAGCAGAACAATAAATATACAGAGGATACTAAGCTTAACCTAATTAGTAATAATAAAGAGGCAGAAGGAGTAGATAATAGACTGCGAGAGATATCTCCTTATTTAATAGATATAGATATAGAGGTGATAGAGCTAGAGTTACCAGAGACTATAACTCAGAGATAGGCCTCAGGGAGGAAGCGTAAGAGTAGGGTAGATAAGGATTTTGAGCAATATTAGAGAAATATATCCTAGTTCAATTATTTGATTTATTCTCTATTTTTTCTAGAAGAGCGCTGTAAGTAAAATACTCAATATTATAAGTAAAAAATGTATTAATTATACAGTTACACGCTAGAAGTCTGTTTGTCTGGTTTACACTATATTAGGGCCCCAATAGGTTACCCAATAGGTTTTAGGTTATAAGCTATAACCCAAAACCTATCGTTGGGTCGAAGCAATGGACCCAAAACCCATTTTGGGTTGGGTTGGGTTGGGTTGGGTTGTGCCGAAGTCTAGGATTCACTGTGGTTGTGGCTAGTATTCTCAAGGGTAAGGTGCTAGGTATTCGTCTTAAGTTAAAGCCGGAGCGAGATCGCAAATAGGTATTTATTTGTAAGCGTTGTAGTCTAGCGGATACGATTATAGTTAAGGCGATCTCGCTGCTTACGACCTCGGTCGTAACTAGACTGCGACATCGCCCGTCCATGGGCACTAGAAAGTGTCCACGGCCCGTGGGCCTTTTGAAATTTGACGCCCATCGCCCACCGTTATGCAAAATTAATGCAAAAATTACCCTATTAGGCTATTTTATGTACATAACTAGTTCTTGGCAGTATCCACCTTGCCAAGAGTGCCCGCATATGTCTTGGCGACGCTAAAAGTGTCTCCACTTTGGTGGGCGTTGTCGCAGTCTATATACCACTGACTTAAATATATATCTTTAAGCTGTTACAGTATGATTTGATAAGTTAATAAAAATACCACACAATATAATGTATTGCGATTAAAATTTTATTCCAAGTCGTATTATATATATACTAGTTTCTTATATACATAGATATTTCAGTAAAATTTATAGATATTGTAGATTAAAACTGCCATTTTATATAGAGTTAGCAAAACAGGTGTAGATAACAGTTATTTATTATACAAAGTCAGCGAGTTATACGTCCATTTTGGGTGACTTTATGCAATGGTGGGCATCGTGGGTATACCCGCCGTGGGTATACCCGTGGGCCTTGGGCGTTGTGGACGGGCACTCGAAAATCCAAATAGCCCAAGGCCCACCGTGGACGGGCCTTGGGCACCTCCTAGGTGCCTATGGACGGGCGATGTCGCAGTCTAGTGATTTTGATGAATTTGATGTTGAATTGATGGAATTGATGGTGTTGATAATAAAGAGATTGATAATGCTTAATGGGTGTAAACCAGAATTGGAGTATCAATTTGTTTGATCTAGTCTATGTGACAAAAGTGACTTAATTTTGTATAGGGTTTGTATACAAATTCCAGGTACCTTCTGTCTACTACTATTATGGAGTTTACTAGGAAGGCGGTGTATAAGAATTGAAAGGCGGTGTGGAGAGCGGTAGGCAGATATAGGCGGCGAGGCAAAGGCGGTACCCAATTGGGAAGGCGGTACTGAAAAATCAGGCAGGGGGGGTGGTCTGATCCAAAGGGGGGTGGTGGGATCCATGGGGGGGGTGGCTGTATCAATCCCCTAGTTCTATATCTCTATATTGCGTCCTGAGTGATGATGTAGTACACTTTCAAGCCTACATACATCTATGTACTTCCTCAAGCTTGTGTACAGCCGATTAATTTAGATCGATGCTCCAATACAATTTATATAACAAGGTTAACCAAGTTAACAATTATTAATGACTATGCAAAGTCCTTTTATCAACTAACCGGTGGAATGGTTGGCGGCACAGCCGGCAACGCGGTGATACTCGACCCGACTTCGCTTTTCAGATCCAAACTCGCCTCTCGCTCAGCCACCCCACTAAAGTCCTCATCGAGGGTCATCTGCACAGATAGAACATGGATACGGGGCGACATGTCAGGTTTCAGTTTGAACGAGTATGTAGGTAATACGTCGAATGTCTCTTGTACCCAGGACATCTGCTTGTCCAGGTCCGGCCTGGAGAGGCTTGTGTCGTTGCCTTTATTTTGTATGGTAGTAGAGGATTTGGTTCGGAAGATGCTGCTGGGCCAGTCTTTTGTCTTGGCGACCGGGCGTGCACAGCACGCACTCTTAGATACGCTATCCCAGGCTTCGGCCACGCGATCTGTCTTGAGGAACTGGGATATCTGTTCTTTCATAGTCTCTCGGCCATTCGTGAGTTTGTTGTGAGCTTCCTGTCGCGCTTCTGTGGGCGATTTGACTGTGGATTGTCTGGTTTGAGGGCGTGGCGTGGTGCAGAATGCCCGGAGTTGTTCTATGGAGATGCTGCGTGAGGGTCGTGAGGGTTGTGAAGGTGCTGTTTGGGGTCGAACTTGAGCCAAGTCGATTTTCTCGCTGACAGGTCGTTTGGGTAGGAAAGGCCTGGAGAGCCTGTGTTTGAGCTTTCCGGGTGACGATGGAAGGGGAGGTGGTGGTTCGTTGCTGGCGCCTGCGCCGGCTTCTGCGCCAAGAGCATTGCATGATTTGGCGCGAGTCATAATCCTGCGCCGAATGCCATCGCTCGGTATGGGTTGCTCTGCAGGGGTGTCAAGTTGATCTTTAGCTGTGGCAGGCCTGTCAAACTGCTTGGAAGCCGTCGGTGTCCCCTTTGGCTTCGGTAGTGGATCGTGAGGAAGAGGTTTTTCTGATGTAGGCCTTTTCTTATCAAAGAGTCTTTGTTTAATTGACTTATTTCGATTGGCAGTCTTGCTGACTTGTTTAATAAACGATCGCTGTGATAGTTAGCGCTGGAATTTGAATGCCAAAGCCTGTCAACTCACATCCTTTCTACTCGCTATTCCCACCCGTCGTTGCATTTCTGTAGTCGCCAAGCCAAGTTGTTTCAGGGCCTTTTGAAGAGCAGTGCCACGTCGACGAAGTCTTGAGATAGCCACGATCCAACCCTCCATGTTGTCCATCATGGCCTGATGAAAAGCCTCAAGGCTCTCGGACTCGAAGCAACCGTCGTCTGTAAGTTTCCGGAAGTAGAACCACAGTGCGCCCATAGCTTCTTTTGCCTTTTGTAGGTCCTTAAGTGAGTCTGTGATGGCAAGGGTGAATCTGTCAATGGAATGTTCAATCTGATCATTATAGGCGACGACCGATAACCGGAAATTTCGGTCTTCCAGCATCTCATCGAAGATATCGAGGTTTCCCAGCGGCAAACTGAGATACTGAATTCGAGTGTGAACGTCTAGTCGGATGAGCAAAAAGTCATCGGTGGTTCTTTCCAAAAAGCCATCCAATTCGGTCACATGTTTCTGTAGAATCTTCATGACTGAGCCTTCAGATTTCGCCAGGCTCTTGGCGAGAAGGTGGACTCCGAAAACCATTTGAGAAATCAACTTCCAAAACGGATGATATCTATATGATTGGGTTAGTTCAGTGTCAAGTATGAGTACGAGTAGGTTACCTTCTCACTTTTCGGAGGCCCTTTGGCGCCATTTTCGCCCACAAAGTCGCTCGTATTCATCATTCTCTAATAGATCGCGCCGCCGCGTCTGCGCGTCAATTTCAACGACCCATTTACTTCCTGAACCATCGGTCGTTTCCACAATTGATTCCTCAAACGGGCCCTGGAGCTGGGGGATTGGGTGGGTTGGATAAGGACTGGATGTTCTCTGGGTGACTAGTTGCTCATTCTTCACAGCATCCTCGGGCGTGTGAATAAGAGTCTCCGGCGTCGAAGCCATTGTGACCTATCACAACGATCGCCGGTGTCACAAGTATATAATGTAGATAGTCTCCAAAGTCGAGTTTGCACACTTTAGATATAAGAACACCCAAGCGATTCGCCAACTAGAGTGCAATGGTTTTGAAGCTTTGATATAATGCAATGCCCCTATCCATTTATAAAATCACAATCGCGGCCAGCCCAAAGTGGCTTTAGTCATGATGAAGATGGCTGGTGTCGGAATTATGCAAGGTATTACTTTATATCGGATCAGAAAGATAAAGAATCAATAGAAGTGGATCTGGCTTACCGTGACTCTGAATAAAAGACACAATATTATGCCCTTAGAAGTCTGGAGAAGTTTCACCAGTGAAACACAGCTTAGATGTAAACCGTTGGGGGAGGAGAATAACCGATCTTAGGACCCCTTTTAACAAAGAACGTCTACAGATTATCGGAGAACACGCCATGAGAGGAAGTCGCTACATAAATCGTATTTTTTTTTCCATAATTTTAATCTTCCGGGCCTTTGTCCTTATTATGGGGCTGATTATTACGTGGTCGCTAGGGGGTCGACGCAGTCTTTGTTGCATATTTCCACCTGTTTCCACTTATTCCCACTTGACACGCGGAATTGGCCAATGAACAGCCACCAATGAATCGTGGAAATGAATCAATAAACCACAAGAACTGGGCTGGGACGATCTCGGAGTCTGAGACCACGACAGGAGACATAATTTCGGACCAACGGTTTTTCCGTTTTTAGTTATCGGCCCTATATTAGAAGTTCCTTGGATGCTCCCTTAGGCATATGTTTCAAATATTGTTTCTTTAATTGTGTCTACTAAAGATGAGACGTGGCAAATACAAAATTCTGCAAGTATGATGTAGTTCATGATAACCCTATTGTACCGAACCTCATTTGTCTTTCTATATTGTACATAGTTCTATTCTGGAGAAAGACAGGGAACATTTAGGAAATGATATGAGGGGATTCTGGCCCACGTACGGAGTAGCGAAACCCAATTATAATGAGATCGACAGCTCTAGAAGCAGCCCACTTCAAAACCAACGACTGTGTACTCCGTACAAAGTATAACACGATTTCACAATGCTATTATTTTGTGTTTGATGCAATTTCAAGTTAATGCCTCAGGCTTCTATATCATGTCCGACTACTCCGTATGGTGGAAATGTATGGGTCCAATCAATGGTCTTCAACTCTCTGTATTGCTGTATTGACTTCCTGGCAATTTATACTGTCCTGATTACATAAGAAATATTACTGCATACTTAGGATTAATAAATCCTCCGGTATCCTGGTGTATCTGCGCCGACACACCCCCTCAGCGGTCCCAGTATGCTTGCTGAGATCGCTGTATCATCTTGTAATTCCTAGTCTATAAGATGGCCTATATCAACCATGTTGAGCAGTCGCACGAAGCTCTCATGCTTTTGCCGAGTGAGCAATTTGGTGAGGCCATCAGCAACCATGCTTGCTGTAGGCACCCAGCGCACCCGTATTCGACCCTGTTGGACTTCCTGGCGGAGCCAATGGTGGTGAATATCGACATGTCGAAGCTTCGTTTCAAAAGCTGTGTCCTCGCTTGTCAATAAGCTGATAGTCCTCTCGTTATCACAGTCGATTGTCAGGTGGTGTGACGGAGTAAAGGCGAGGTTTTGAAGCAATCGGCGCCACCATTGGAGCTGCTTTCCTGCCTCCGATAGGCCGAGTAGCTCTGCTTCTGTGGTTGACGTTGTCACTGTGGGTTGCTTGCTTGCTTTCCAGTCAATTGGACCGCCGTATGCTTGACAGATATACCCAGCTGAGCTTTTTCTATCCGGGTGGTCTCCATACGAAGCGTCACTTGCAAACTGCACCGAGTCGGTCCCAGTATTGGCTGTTCCGTACTCAATCGCTAGGTTCCGGGTGGAGTAGAGGTAGGTGATGACTCGATCAGCTGCTTGCTGGTGCTGTGGACCGGGGTTCGTGAGAAATTGCGCGAGCTTCGCGGTCGCCTTTGCAGCGTCGGGCCTAGTGATAATGGTGGCATACCCTGCTGAGCCCACCTTTTGCTGGTATAGCAGGATTTCCTTTGGCGTTGCCACCCCCTGAAAAGGGGTCAATTCCTCAACCGGCAGTGGAGTATAGACTGGTGCCCTTTCTGTCAAGTGATATCGGGTAGCAATGCTTGTCACATAGCTATCTTGATATAACCAGAGCTTCTTTTGTTGCCGGTCTCGAATGATTCGTATGTTTAGGAACCATGCTGCTTCTCCATGATCGGTCAGTTCCCAGTGTGCTTCGAGATCTCGCTCTAATTGCTGTGCCTGCGCCTTTGCATTGGTATGACTGGCGATTAGGATATCATCTACATAGAAGAAAACCAGTAGTCCTTTTCCCATAAAAACGCATGGGTCTTCTGGTACTTGCTGTAGACCTAGCTTGCGGAGCACGCTTGCTGCTTCTTGCTGCCAAAGTCGTGGTGAGATCCGTAGACCGTATAGCGCGCGACGTAACTTCCAGCATTTACCTAGGTTTTGAAATCCCTCAGGCATATGCGTATACGTCTCTTGGTCTAACTTGCTGTTTAGGAACGCGGTGACAGCATCTCTCTGTCTTAGGTCAAGATCAAAGGCAGCAACCAAGGCAAAAATCATCCTCGCTGTCCTTGCTGCTAGCGTAGCAGCTCTCTTTTCCTCGTGAGAGATGGTTTCAAGGTCTCCGCGCACACAGATACGGGCCTTAAGCTTCAAAAGGTACCCGTCCTGGTCAAATTTGTATGAGAACACCTATAAAAGAGGGAGAATCTGCTTCCCTCGGTCTCTTGGTTTCTTAATGACCTCAAAAGTCCCCTTTTCAGAGAGGGAGTTGATCTCCTTCCTCATCGCTGCGAGAAAACCTTCCTGAAATAGGTGGTTCATCACATCCTTCCAGTATTTTGGCGGTGGTGGGAGGTCGTCTCGGTGGCGGCGAGTGTCTGGTTTCTCAGCGTATAAGCCAGCGGCAAAAGCATGGAGTAGCGCCGGCGGTTCCACTTCTTGGGTGGTGCTTGTCGCGTAGGCGAAGTCTTTTTCCTGCCTTACTTGGCGTCTACGCCTACCACTGAGTATATTGCTGGTATCCATATCTCCGATTATCTCTCTTCTCGGAGCCAGTAGCTCTGCCTGAAGTTGCTTCTCTAGTTCGTCTTCAGTGGTTTCAAGATCCGCTTCTTCTTGCTGGATCTGGTCCCTTTGATCTCCCTCGGTATCCACCCCCTGACCAGAGCCAGTATGCCTCTCTTGCTCCTGCGGTGGGGTGATTGGTAGTGGTGGTAGGGGCTGTTCAATCGGAAAGGAACCTGGTAGTGCTTGTGGTGGAGGGTCTGGGGTCGGCCAATATGACCTATCACCCACCCCCTGGACTGGGGTAGTCCCTCGTTGGTTGACTGTCATCTTTTGGACCTCTGCTTACTGCGGAACCTCCTCTTGCTGCTGTACTTGCTGAGGCTCCTGTGCTTCCTGTAGATCCTGAGTCCTCTCTTCCATCGTACTAGTCTCCTCTTGACTAGTAATTTGGTGGTTTATCACCTGTGCGACCTCCTTAACGGTGAGTTCCTGTGGTCCCGTTATAGCTGGTAGTGGGATAGGCTGATATTTCTCATAATCAGGGGTATATTTTCGTGTCTCGTCAATGACTGCATCCCTGATATGCCTCACTTTCCCACTATGTGGGAACCAGATCTTCCAGATATTCGAGGCAAGGTATCCCACCACGAAGCCAATCTCTGCACGTGGGTTCATCTTATCGGACTGTACTTGCTTCTCAATCCTGCAGTACGCCAAGCTTCCATATAACCTAATATTTGATAGGTTTATCCTCGGCGCCTGTGGTGCGACTTCCTTCCTCACTTCCTCCCATGGTACCACCCACCGATTCTCGGCGGCGATATACGTTGGTGTACGATTTAATAACCATACGGCGGCGCTTGCGAACTCCGGCCATAGCTCCTTTGGGAGGTTCCCTTCGAGGGCGAGCATACGCATCCGGGTGATAATCATTCCACCTGATCTCTCAGCATACCCATTCATCTCTGAGTGCCCTGGGGGGGAGTGATATATCAGGATACCATCGCTTGTGAGACTATACTCCGCTGCTCTGCCAGCTGCTGCTTCATTGTCGTAGTGGAAGGCCTTGATTGGCAGCTTCCACTGATTTCTTGCAAGTTGTACAAACTGGTTGATGGCCAATTGACATTCAGGTTTCACTTCGTGAGTCATGATCCAGTGGAATCTCGGTCCTTCTAGGTAGAAGTGGGATATCCAGCGGTGCTTATTGTAGGCTGGCTGCAGCTGAATTAGGTCGAAATGCACCCTTCCAAAACGTCCAAAGGTACGTCCAACTTGTCGTCTTGAAATCTGCCTCGGAGCACTTCCTGTCTTACAGGTCTGACATAGAGATTCTTGCTCTGTGCTTGCTCCTCCTTTATCGTCAAGAACAACGCCGTCTACCATAGTAGCAAGCTTTGCTACGGTCCGCGGTTGAATGTGTGCTAGGCGTCGGTGCCAAATTTCAGAGGAAGCCCTTGATTCCTGTGGCTTCACTGATTTCCGTTGTGCTTGCTGCACAGCATATACTTGTTGTGGCGGAGCCTCGCCTGGCTTGTCAAAGATCCAGAGATTGAATTGATCCCATAGGTTCACACAGACGACAGGTCTATCATTTGGGTCCCGTATACAGTTTGTACGTTGGCACCAGAGGCCGCCTTTCTTCTTTAGCATCGCGTACGACACGAGACTCGTATAGAAACTTGGTGAGTATAGAGCGTCGCTTAAGGTGATCTCCATCCTTCCCTTTACCGGGTGTCTCCCTAAAAGTCTGACTTTGCCTCTCCCTAGCACCTGCGTGGTACTATCTCCGGTTGTTAGGTCAATTATATCAGGTGTGAAGTCGACGAATAGGGCTCGGTTATTGCAGACATGCGCACTTGATCCGGTATCAAGAATCCACCGGTCACGGAGGGAGGGCTCGCCTGCCTTTGCCACAGAGAGCACGTGCTTGCTAATCTGTATAGCTTCACTTGGCTTGCTTCGAAAAGTGGTTGCAAAGCTGACTTGGTTGGCGGATTCGGCTGGTTTTTCCTGTGCTTGCTAAGCTTGCTGAGCTTCAGCTATCACTTTATCCACCCATTGCTTCCAAGCGTGGTCCTTTCCTAACTTCTTCTTTGCTTTCTCTAGTTTCCCTTCGTTTAGGGTATACCCTTCTGGCCGAATCGCTTCGTTTAGGAGCCAGCAAGTAGCAACTTTATGCTTCGGGTGTGAGCTACCACAAGGGCAGTGTCTCTTCTCAAACGGAAGCTTCTCTTGCTTTGTTTCCGGTTTCGCCTCTTGGTGACCTTGCCAGGTCGAGAAAGCGCCTTTTGGAGGAGTGGTTGATGACACCACCTGTGCTCCTATCTCGCGATTCATCGCGCGGAATGATTCAAGGAGATCTCGGGTATCGTACACCTTCTTTTCCATCACTATTTCCTGGTATTTGCCTTACCACCATATAGGTAGAACTTCTTTCACGGCGTGCAGGAAGTCCCTATTGGCATCTCCGTCCTTGATACTAAGACTAACCGCTTGCTCCCTTAGCGAGTTCCACTTTTGGAGCCACTTGTCGATGTCTCCAGTCGGCTTCTGCATTGCAAACACTTTCCAACTCATTCGGATTTCCTCCTCATACGCGGTCGATCGAGCGAACCGAGACTTCAGATACATAAGTCTATCATACGGTGTACGATATGTGATCAGTGCGAGGTGGTGTACTGGGTCAAGATAGGTGAGGATATATTCATTTACATCACTCAGTCCCTTTGCTTGCTTCTCCCATCGAGCATAGCTCATTTTATACACGTCTGCTTGGTCTCTCCATTTCCTTCGATCTGTTTCGGTGCCCTCTTCAGGATATTCTGGTTGTACCGGTTCCTTTAGAGTATCAGGTCGTTCAGTTGACGGGGTATCCGGGTTGCAGTGATCCCAGACATTTTTTTGCATTGCGTATAGCTGCACCTTCGCAAACCAGGTGAGCCATTGCGGTGCATCCTTCAGTTTATCGCCCTTCATGGCGGAGAGAATCGATGCTGTTTCCATTGCTGGATGCTGTGTTGTTTTGATGTGAAACAAGGGATGACTTTCTGCGGAGTGGCTTCGTGGAGGTTTATAAGACAGTTTCTAGCAAGTTGCTAGGTACTATATGCCGATATAGTAGTCTTATTCAGTGCGAACCGGGCTCATAACTGTCCGACTACTCCGTATGGTGGAAATGTATGGGTCCAATCAATGGTCTTCAACTCTCTGTATTGCTGTATTGACTTCCTGGCAATTTATACTGTCCTGATTACATAAGAAATATTACTGCATACTTAGGATTAATAAATCCTCCGGTATCCTGGTGTATCTGCGCCGACATATCACTTCGGCCCATACTTCCCCATATGGTGCTGAGACTTATTCGTGAGAATGTGGTCTTATATACCTTACAAATGGGAAACCAAGCAACATCCATGAATGTGGCATATAAATCGTTATATAGTTCGGTTATGATAAGCTTTTATTAAGCTTGTCGACTTGAATCCAATTCAAGCTCTTTCCATGGAATCATTGGCCTGTTTTGACCTAGCCACTTATAAAATAGGACTTTCTGATTTAGGAAGGAACGACTGGCTCCGGGGTAACGCCTTGGCATTGGATTTCAGCTTGGCTATTAAAGAGCCGTAAATATTAACGATAGAGCCAAGCTATGTCAACATCGCTTATTGTGACTACAATCTACTCCGCACACTTCATATAAATGGAGTAGATCGGCTTTATTCTAGTGTTGCTAACTAGTATTATCTTTAGTCGTCGCTCGAGATAAGAAGTATGGGCTATTGCTAGCGCCTCCGGTGTACACATGCGATAGCAAGTGGCAAATATTTAACATGCCACTCACTATACTTGCTGCCCGAGGCTTGTTTCTGGTACCTGGAGGGCAAGTGGTACCACGACACTATTAATCGTTATTATATATGTAATATCGGATAATACATCCATAGATACTAGTAGTATTTCACGAAGTCAGGCAAACACAGCACGTCATAATAGCTTTCTTTGCGGAAGGTAACATCCTTGTCCTGCAACCTACAGCTCTTGGCGCCAGCCAATTGAGATCCTTGAGATCCGGGATTTTGGCTAATTCGACTTAAATTAAACACAGCCTACAAAGTACAATCTATACTGTCAATCCTTCCCCTCAACGCCCAACTCACCTCATCAAATGACTGAGCATCCAACAACTCTTAGTGGAGCTTTGACTCTTCCCCTCGTAAAACGATGTTACATTTCCCGGAGTTCCTACGGAGATCAGAAACTACTATGCAAGTGCCCGACTTACATTTCAGCTTTCTCAGGAAAATCGTTGCCTGCCGCATACGCTAGTCGCACTCTTATCATGTACGATTCCTGCTTATTTCCCCTCTTCTCCAGGGCTAGCGCTATAAGTACATACAACCCCGCAAGCACTCTCTGTAATCTGTACAGCGTTGAACGTGTAGAAAGCCCAGTATGCGTATCTCACACTGGATTCCATTACTACCCGCTGTAGCGGCACTCGCGGTGCCATCGGACGATAACTTGGAGGCCTTCTTCCGCCGCCAGCTGCCCGATCACCCAACACACGTCAAGACTATTAAGACGGCTAATAATGTCACTATTCGCTATAAAGAACCTGGTAAAGAGGGTGTTTGTGAAACTACTCCCGGTGTCAAGTCTTATGCGGGCTATGTGGACATTTCACCCACAGAGCACACTTTCTTCTGGTTTTTCGAGGCTCGCCATGACCCTGAAAATGCCCCGATTACATTGTGGTTGAATGGTGGACCGGGTAGTGACTCTCTGATTGGATTGTTTGAGGAATTGGGCCCTTGTCGTGTCAACAAGGAGTATGAATCTTATATCAATGAGCACTCGTGGAATGAGGTCTCGAATATGCTATTCCTTTCCCAGCCACTGGGTGTTGGTATGAATATCGCTTCATTATCTATTCTCTTTTTGAATATCTGGCTAATATAACCACAGGTTTCTCCTACGCTGAGAAAGCCCCCGGCACTCTTAATCCTTATACTGGTTCATACGAAGAGCCGTCATTTGCAGGCATTGATGGTCGCTATCCAGTTATCAACGCCACTGCAATTGATACAACTAACCTTGCTGCAAAAGCTACTTGGGAGGTCCTGCAGGGATTCCTAGGTGGTCTTCCCAAGCTGGATAAGAAGATCAAATCGAAGAGCTTCAACTTGTGGACCGAAAGCTATGGAGGGTGAGTTTGCTCCATTGCTTTTGAAATATATGTTGATGTGTCATTACTAACTTTTCTCAGACATTATGGCCCTGCTGTAAGCCAACTGCCTAATTCATATTCCGCATAAGTTCTAACACTGGCAGTTCTTTGATCACTTCTATGAAGAGAACCTTAAGATTGCCAACGGCACCCAGGATGGCATTCAACTCGACTTCAACACCTTGGGTATCATAAATGGTATCATCGATGAAGGAATTCAAGCCACGTATTACCCTGAATTTGCCGTGAATAATACCTACGGCATCAAGGCTGTAAGATTTCCAAGGTACAATGATATAGTTCCGCACTAACAAGGGCTATAGGTCAATGAAACAGTTTACAACTATATGAAATTCGCCAATGAGATGCCTAACGGCTGCCAGGACCAAGTGGCAAGCTGCAAGTATACAAACCGCACCTCGGTATCAGACCTCGCAATTTGCAGTGAAGCGACCGGCATGTGCCGTGACAACGTCGGTATGTGAACTGTACCCATATACCCTAACTATATATATGTATATGGTATCCGCCAAAAGAACTAAACGACTGACAACCTCCCCCAATCCAGAGGGTCCTTACTACGTCTTCAGCGGCCGAGGCACATACGACATCCGCCATCCAAGCAACGACCCAACCCCAGAAAGCTACTACCCAAACTACCTCGCCAAAGACTCAGTAATGAACGCCCTAGGCGTCGATGTAAACTACACGGAATCCAACAACGAAGTCTACTACGCCTTCCAACGAACCGGCGACTTCGTCTGGCCCAACTTCCTCGAGGACCTAGAAGATATTCTCTCACGCCCCGTCCGCGTCGCCCTCATCTACGGCGACGCAGACTACATCTGCAACTGGTTCGGCGGCGAGGCCATCTCCCTCGCGGCAAAGTACAAGCACAGCAAGCAGTTCAAGAAGGCAGGCTATACTCCCTTCCTCGTCGATGGTGTCGAGTATGGTGAGACGAGGGAATACGGTAATTTCTCTTTCACCCGTATCTATGAGTCTGGCCATGAGGTGCCGTATTATCAGCCCGAAGCTTCATTGCAGCTGTTTAATCGTACGCTAAATGGATGGGAAATGTCCAAGGGGGAGAAGAAGTTGAAGCAGAATTCTGGCTCGACTGGGCCCGATACGGCTACCCATACGCAGTCTTCGGTGCCGTTGCCTACGGCTACAAAGGCTAACTAGTTCTGGAGTTGATGGGTCATTTTGAGAGAGATCCATGGGTATATCTGATTATATATCGATAATATTGAATAGCATTGAGATCTGAGACATTAAAATTACATTATGTTATGTACGCGTTTAGATAGACAAATCCCCCATAACCATACCAGACCTAAAGCACATCCCGAATAAGAGCCCCTGGCGTCCAAAAAGCAGAGCCACCCAAAATAATGTACAAAATCATGAAATAAAGCGGAATTGACGGACATTAAGTATTCGTTGAATATTGACAATCCTCACGACCCGTGGCGCAGTTGGGCCCAGGATTTTCGCGAGTAGAAGAAAAAAGAGACGCGCCTCGTAAATGGACATTTCATCGCACCATGGCGAGAATAAAGAAGGTGATTAAACTTAAGTATTGATCGTGTGGTGGTAGATATTATCGGTGGGGATTGTTGGGTCCGGCAATTCATTATTTGGTGGTAGTCTCTTCATGAGAGTCGCGGAGAGTCTCGGTAGGAGTGTGAGTTTCAGCATGAGGCTTATCCATCTCAGACATTTCATTAGTATGGCCTAGAACTTCGGCGGCAGTTTCGTCGGAGAATCGCAGGTCGTCCTCCACGTCAGTGCTGTTTTTGATCTTGAAGAAAATCACAGGTGAGGCAACAAGCATACTACCGACCAGCATACCCCAGCAGGAGGCGAATTCGGTCATGTAGGGGGTATCGTTTGAATCCAGGCTGAAAGTTTGTTAGTTACGGAAAGAATAAGGATCAAAACAAAAGAACAGGGATAGCTTACCTCCACATTCCAGCGGCGCCAGCAGACTGAATGCCTTTGTAGAAACCAGCAAAGTTGGCCAACTTGCGGCTGTTATTAGAAAGAGAGCCCATGTACCAATATGTACAGGTCTGGAAAGCAGCATCATAGAATCCGTAGAACATGTACAGGAACATGGGTCCAATGTAGCCGCTGTCGGTGAAATCAATGCCGAGACCCTTGGTGTCCCGGGTATAGCGCTTCTGGAATGCATATCCTCCACCCCAGATGCCCATAGTGATAGCGAGTAGAATGCCGAAGTTGAGCTTGGCGCGCCACGTACGCGAAAGGCCCTTCAAATCCAACAACTGGCCGAAGATAAACGCACCCACCATCTGCATCAGCCAGTACAGAAGACTGTTTAGGGCCCGAGTGCGAACATTGAAATAGGCGAGGTTGACTGCGTTGAAGTGGTATGCGTAGAACCAGTTGCTGGCCAAAAACATGGGGAACATCATGACAATGTACGAATCGTGGATCAGGGTCTCCCAAAGACCCAAAAATTCGGACTTCCAGGTTGGGTTCTTGATCACAATGACGCGTGAGCCGTCCTTGCGCATGACATGCTTGCAATCAACGAGACACCAGCAGAGAGCGAAACCAATGGCCATTAGAATAAGGAAGGCAATGTATGTTCCATTGTTGACGCTGCCGGCTGTCGAATGCATGTTTTGACCAAGAGGGACCTATTTGATATCAGTATATTGTTTTGGGAGATTCAAGGTTTGCAAGTAGACATACCAAGCTACCAATGACACCACCCAAGTTGAAAATCACCCAGAAGATAGCAATGTACTTTCCCTTCTCATTCTCATGTGGATAACTCAACATAACCGCACCCTGAGCACACCATAGCAGACCAGCACAGACACCCAGCAGGGCTCCGGCAAAAATGAGGAAGGCCGCGTTTTGGTTGATATTGTACGAGAGGAGCGAGGCAACATAAAGGAAGTAGCCGAATCCACCCAGGGAAAGGGTAAGGCGCAGACCAATTCGATTGGCAATGGATCCGGCAAAGAAACCGACTACTGCAAAAGTACTGTACAGTGCAGTATTGGCGTTATTCACATCGTGGGCGTTAATCTGACCGCCGCCACCGAGGCCGCTGACGGCGTTGAACATGCCGGGACATAAAAAGCAGACAATTGACACGAAATATAGTTGCATCTCTGGTGAGGCAAAGTAAGGAGCCTCCCATTTGCCAATCTTGAATAGTGGCTTGTACATCCATGCGGGGCCTATCACCGTTTGGTCCACACCGGACTCCGGGTCCTGCGGAGCGGATGCAGATGCGGACGCAGACGCCGACACGGACGCATATTGTTCTGTTGGACCCTCTGTCTGCTTCTCGACTTCTTTCTTGTCCGGCTCAGTCATAGTTGTAGGAAACGGGATCTACAGGGGCCAAAAAAAAAAAAAAAAAATAGTAGAAATAAACAAGCGAGCTAAGGGGCCCGAAGAATGTTCCCCACGTGAGAAACAAACTGAAGAATCGTGAAGAATGTAGATAATCCCTTTGCCAAGGGAAATTCTGAAACAGGTAAAGGGGATTTTCTTAGGGCGAAGCTAAGGCTTTTTAAGCGCTTAGTAGAGAAACTAATATAAATCACGCGATGGGTCTTATCTCGGGGATCCATTTTTCTCAATGCGACATACATCTTACATTCATAGATGTCAGATTGAGGGGTTGCGGGGATAAGAAAAAGATGGAGTCATCGGTTCATCTGGAGAAGTTACAAACCATGGGAACTTCAAAATAGTCATATTGATCATAATCGGAATATCAAGAATTGGTAAGGTGAGAGATCTGTTCCACTTGCAATGCGACACAGAGAAAGAGATGTTGCATTGGAAGGAAGAGGGAAGAGACCCGCATGCGGGATATGTCGCATCCTTCTACGGAGGAAATGTTATTTACCCGTATTGTCAAAGCCGCGTTTAGTAATTTTACGGGCCGAGTATTTGAGATGTAATGTATTATTACAGATAGTACTTATGTACGGAGTACAATAGTACAGTATACTAATGATAGTATACTATGTATCCATACTATAACACTATATTATAATATTTGTATACCACATCGGCATGCCGAATGTCACTCAGTCTGTTGTTACATCATTGTGCCTAGGTCTTTATGTACTTAGCTTCTCCCCCCTCCTCTTCCTTTGTTCTGTTTTCTTTTCACCAAACTTGATCTACTCTGATAGCAACATTTGATAAACAATGCCGGGCAAGACCTCAACCCCGCGCATTACCAAGTTCACCAACTGTCGCCTGGTGTGCGGCTTGGACTTGGTCGAACAAGATCTCTGGATTGACTCGTTGACCGGAAAGATCCTGAAAGATCAAGAGGCCTTCTATGGATCCCACTTGACTCCCGATGAGATCATCGACCTTGGTGGCCGTATTATTGCCCCAGGTATGATTGATGTCCAGTTGAACGGTGCCCACGGCTTTGATTTCTCTGTGCCCTGTGAGACAAAGGAGGAATACGATAAGGGTTTGCGCATGGTGAACCGTGGATTGGCCCGAACCGGTGTCACATCCTACCTGCCGACACTTGTGAGCTCCACTCCGGAGGTATACTGGAAGGTAAGCAAAAGCGCAAAGCGCAAAGTGCCGCTCTAAGCAACAAAGAACAAAAAAGAAATTAATCTCTGAATTCTTTCAGGTCCTCCCCTCCCTCGGCCCAACAGCAGGAACCCACACGCCCGAAGACGGCGCCGAGTCATTAGGCGCACATGCCGAAGGACCCTTCATCAGCCCCGGCCGCAACGGTATCCACAAGCCCGATGTGCTGCGCGCCGCGGAAAGCTTCGACGATATTATCTACTGCTACGGCGCCGAGAACATGGGCGACGACAGCCCAATCAAGATGATCACAGCCGCCCCCGAAGTCGGCAACATGATGTCCCACATTCCCGAGATCTCCAAGCGCAACATCATCTACTCCATCGGCCACTCCGACTCAACCTACGAGCAAGCCGTCACGGCCACGCACCAAGGCGCGCGCATGATCACCCACATGTTCAACGCCATGCGACCCTTCTACCACCGCAACCCCGGTATCTTCGGTCTGCTGGGACAGAGTGAGCGCCGCAGGCCGTTCTACGGTGTTATCGCGGACGGTATCCACTTGCATCCCACTTCTATCAAGATCGCATACAATGCGCACCCGGATGGGTTGATCTTGGTTACCGATGCGATGCGTCTGTGTGGTCTGCCGGACGGTGTCTATGACTGGACGAACGGAGAGCGGATTGTTAAGACCGGTGCGCGGTTGACGCTGGAGGGCTCTGATAAGATTGCTGGGTCTTCGGCTACGCTTATCGAGTGTGTTAATAACTTCCGTCGTTGGTCGGGTGCGTCGACGGCTGCGGCTATCAATGCTGTCACTGCTGCGCCGGCGCGTCTGCTTGGCTTGGAAGGTGTGAAGGGGTCGTTGGTGAGCGGTGCTGATGCCGATCTTGTAATCTTGGGTGAGAATGAGGATCCCTTCTCTGGGCCGACCTTGACAGTTGATCAGGTGTGGAAGCTGGGTGCTAAGATCCACGATGCGAACAAGGCTGCCACTGTGATGGCATGAGGTGGTTGCGATCTGCTTTTTTCCGGGGTTATTTGCTTTTTCTCGTGATTCCAGCATATGTTCAACAGCTCTTTCATCTTGGTTGGTTACAGGCGTTTTGAGGTTGTGATTTTGCATTGAGCATAGAATGCAAGCGCATGGTCATAGCGCCAGCTCCATCTTCAGTTCGAATACTTGTTTTAAATTTTAAATTTTCAAATTTCAAGAAAAAATTATTTCAAATATCAAGTTTATACATGATAGATTGTGTATATGTCAGATAAATAAACCAGATCTGTCTCGCAGATGGGGAGAACCAGGCTCGGAGAGATGCCCGCATTCAGAGGCGATCCTCCACACCCGACTCCGACGGAGCTATGCGCCGCTCGCTTATATGCTATAATAAAACCAAAATGAGACCCAAATGAAGAAATAACTTTTACAGGCATGTCAGATCTTTGACGCGTAAGAAGCCCCTGCTTTACAGACGGGGCTGGTTGCGAGACCAACCAGCCTCGCCAGCAATCAGCTCGGCGGCACGCTCACCAATGGTCAGAACCGTCAGCATAGGGTTGACGGTGGGCATGTCAGGGAAGACACCAGCATCGGCGATACGGACTCCCTTCAGGCCGCGGACCTTCAGTGTGGGGTCCACAACCGCCATGGGGTCACAAGCAACGTTACCCATCTTGGTAGTACCAGCGGGGTGGTACACGGTGTGGGCGACACGACGGCCATACTCGGACAGCTCCTCGTCAGTCTGTACCTTGGGACCGGGGGCAACCTCGCGCTTGATCCACTCCTTGAAGGGAGACTGCTTGGCAATCTCACGCGCGGCCTTGAGACCAGCCACGATGGTGGCGGCGTCGTAGCCCTCAGGGTCAGTGAAGTAGCGGAAATCTAGCGAGGGCTTCACAGAGGGGTCGGCAGAGGTCAAGAAGAGACGACCGCGGGAGCGGGGGCGGGGAATGTTGGGGGTCATGCAGAAGGCATTCACGGGCTCGTCGTAACCGAGACGAGTGGTGTTAAGAGTGAACGGAATCTGGTAGCAGTGCATCATCAGATCGGCGATCTTGCCGTCGAATCCGGCGGCATTGGGCAGCTCGCGGCGCAAGAAGATACCGGCATCAGAGTCCATAGTGGTCATTTTATGATCCACAGGGCTGTTGAGCTCCCACATGATGATACTCTCGGGGTGGTCCAGCAGGTTCTCACCAACACCGGGAATATCCTTCACAACGGGAATACCGAGGGCGGACAACTGCTCACGGGGACCAAGACCGGAAAGCATCATCAGACGAGGGGTGTCGACAGCTCCGGCACACAGGATGGTCTCCTTCTTGGCACGCAGAGTGTGCTTGACACCAGACTGAAGAGTAACATCAACACCGGTCACGGCGTCACCCTCAACGTTGATCTTGCTAACCCAGGCGTTGGTGAGGATAGTCAAGTTAGGACGCTTCTCATCACCACGGAGAATGGGGTGGATGTAGGCAACACTGGCACTGCTGCGGCGGCCATCATCGGGGTTGTAGGAGATGTTGAAGAAGCCGACACCCTCAGTCAGCTCACCAGTGTTACGGATGTCATCGTTGAAGTTCTCAATGACAGGGATTTTCATGGCAGTAGAGCAAGCCTGGACCCAGTCCAAGCACAGCTGGTTACGGTGGCGGGCATGTACCGGCTGGATAGTGTTACGCAGGTTATCAATGATGCGGGTGAAGGTCTCAAAGTCCCAGCCCTTGCAACCCTTGGCAACCCATTGACGGCAATCATATTCGAAGGGACGGAAAGAGATGAGAGTGTTGTGGCTAGAGCAACCACCCAGGACCTTTGCGCGGGAGTGACGGATATGACTGTTGCCTGCGGGGATAGTCAGCACAAGCTTATTTGGAATTTCTCAAGAATAATATCTTACCCATGGGTTGCTCAGTGGTACCATAGTCGTAATCAAGCTCGCCTCCAAGTAGGTTGAGCCATTCCTTCAGGTTCAGGACGCGATCATCCATGAAATCACTAGGACCTCCCTCAATAACCAGAGTCCGCTTATTAGGCAGGTACTCGGCCAGACGTGCGGCGATCACACAGCCGGCGGTACCGCCGCCAACGACAATGTAGTCATAGCTATTGAGATCGACGGTGGGGAGCTCGTTAGTGGTGGCCATGTTGAATACCGGGGTAGGATGCAAGGTCCGAATGTGGTGAGGAGAAGATTGGAGAAGGAAGAAAAGACCGCCTTTTTCTAAAAAGAAATTTTAAGGCTGTTCGGGGGTGGTCTGATCGGAGAAAGGCTTTGGATCCAATCTCTGGTCCTTACCCAGCATCCTTTCATTCTTTTTTTTTTTTTTTTTCTTTTCTTTTTTTCGTTGGACTCGGCGAACGTTTGAAGCCTCTGAGTGGTGGCGATCATTGGAAGTGGAGAGACTTCGGGTCAGAGATGTCTTGGTTAATATGATTAATATTATACGGTCCACTCATAACGAACATGAACACTTTATCAACATCCTTGCTCGTATATTCAAAGCTTATTGATATCTGGAGTAGAGAGATCTGAGATAGGAATTCCTTTCCGATGCTATCGAGATGAGCGTAGGGTATCAGGGGGTATCAGGGGGGTACGTCATTTTGCATCTAACCAGGGGGGCCTTGGCTAACGAATGCCATTCTTAGTGAGAAATTCCCGGGGGGACTTTCGAACCATAGAAAGTAAGCGGAAAAGCAAATCTAACGAATCCGATCAAAGATAACAACCCCGCGTAGGACTTCAGCCATTTCAGCCACTTTCAGCCGCTGACCGGATGGCGTACTT